CCTCTACCTCCCCGTGTGGTCGTCCGTTCGCGTACGTCTCAGCCTTCAGCATATTCTCATCACAGCATGTCACCAACTCCTCCTTGCAGTCTGGATATGATGAACCTATTACCAGAAAGCCGGCCTGCACAGTAGTGGATGGGATTTAAAAAGCGCCCTAAATAGATGGGTCCGATGCACTCTTATTCACTGTAACCATGGAAACACTAGATATTCCCCCTTATCCTCAGAGACATATAAAGCAATTGTACGGGTGATAAAAGAGAGAAAGAAAGAAACATACGTAGTCAGTTGAATTCTCGACCACAGTTCATTTCTTCGAGCCAGGCCACCATAAAAATAGCCTGAGGGAAAGTACATTTTTTTATTAGTGCTCAATTCGACCATATTGAACTCATTTTGAACGGCCAATTTTGGCAGCATTTCCAGGACAATTATGTGTGAACATCCGCCGCGTTATGTTGAATAAATAAACAGTAAATGTACAGTCTGGCGTCGTTGATTTACACAGTGCTGTTCAAGATTTTGAAGGAGAACGGGGCTCACGAGAATAGCACCGAATTCTGTTTTCTGAAAGAGCAAGGTCGTTTTTTTAGCTGCATCTGAAAAAATAGCAAAATGAAAATCCATTATTCCTGTGGTAATACAGCATGTTTCAACTAGACATCAGATCTTGAACGCATCGTTGCATGGCAATACATTGCTGGCAGATAATGGGTTTCAAATGGGTGGCTTCATTTAATTAACATAATTTTTTTTGTTGACTATTGATTGAATTGCAGATCTTAAGTTTTCAGCCGCAGTGCAAAATGTTTAATAATTTAACTGTCACGGTCTGTCTGTGTTGTGTTTTGTCTGTCTCTGGTTTCCTGTTTTATTTTTGAAAAGTGTTCACCCCCTGTCTTGTCTGTTGATTCCTGTCTCTGTGTTTGCCCTCCTGTGTCTGATTTCCTGATTGTGTTCACCTGGTGCCCCTGTGTTTTCTCCTCCCTCCTCACCTGTCTCTTGTTTCTTTGATTAGTCCAGTGTGCATTTAGGTTCGTTTTTTCCTGTTAGTCTTTGTGTGATCCTAGTTTGTCTTGACTGTGTTCACAGGGAAGAGTTCTGTTTGTACATTAGCCTTGAAATAAAGGAATTTTCTGTTTAAATCTGCATTTTGGTCCTGCCTGCTTCACTCAACCCTGACATTAACAACTTAAAGCTGCACTTATCAATACTTTTATGTCAGCGATGTCAAAATGAACTCTTTACTATTTGTATTTACTATGTCTTTTGAGCTATTTTAGGGTGTCAATCCTTAAAAACCACAACTTCCTGCTCAGTGCCAAACAGTAGAGAAAACAAGTAAGCTACTAGCAACATAGGAAAGAATAGCAGCTAAATAGACAGAAAACTCCCTTAAGTTGTTATAAAAGGCTAAACCAGAGCTTGAAGGGCAATGTATATTAGACTTACATTTAAGAGACATCATTCCAAATAGATACTAACATTGCTTTCTGTCTCCCTAATGTGTAATTAGGCAAATGTTCGCTTGCTGCTGCAGTTGCCTAATTACAACAGTCAATACTAGATAAACGTCAACAGCGCAGATTAAATATAATTGTTTCCAAGTTTAGAACTGTTCTGTTGACAGAGATAACTACTTTGACATACCCTCATCCCTGAAGGGGTAATTAGAGAAATCACCAAGTGTAATTAGTTAGGCAAGGACACCTGCCCACTCTCTCATTTAGAGACACCACAGATATCTCAAAAGAAAAACATGCAGTGCAGAGACAGGTTGTTCCAGGAAGTGTTGCTGGTATTAATTAGTCCAGTCAAACAACAGTGAACCCTTCAAGCATTTGGCAAAGGTTAATACAGCTGGAGACGGGACAGGGCACACGAGCGCTACGGCGGAAAAAATGTCAAAGCTATTACTGTCAGGTTGCAAAAAGATGAAAGTATGGGGGATGTTTGTGAGTCAAACTCTGTCGATTTCTGCGTCATTAAAGCCCCCCTCACCTTCACTGCTTTTACCCTTACATTACATGAATAAAAGTATGTGGTCAGGCACAGAAAGATTAAACCAATCTGTAATTGTTAACATATTGTTGACACTTACATGTTTCTATAACTCATCTTTAGGCGTTCCACAAGATGTTTCTTCCATTGATTAATCTGGGATGCCCATAGGGATGACGTATTGGTGTAGGACGACCCGGAAATAAGCTGCATGAGTTCCCTCGACAAAAAAGCAATCGGATTTCTCCATAGGATTTTCGAATATTGTAAAAAATAAGATCTGTGGAAAACGAACCTGTTTGATAAATGCACGTTTTGTTCACCCAGATAATCTCCACATGTCTACCCTACTTTTATAATTTTCTAATCATAAATCTAATCGCCAGAAGCAAAATGCTAACGTTATGCTATAAACTACAGGCGAGTACAGCAGGGTTGCTCGACTTCAACGTCACGACAACTTAAGATCAATATTCAAAAATACAGATTCAACATTGTACAAGTTGAAGCTTTTGTTTTAACAGTTTGCAGGAGGCAGGTACTTGCTTTCAAGCAGAACACGGGGGAAAACAAACTTAGCGGGAGTGTTTACGTGTTCGGCGTAATGACGTACAACGGCCTCCACAACTTCTGTAGTCCTATTCAGCCACTTGGTGACAACCATCGTAAACTCTTCAAAAATCCCCAGTGGGGTCACTGCTGATGTATTTAATGTCGTAAAACAAAACGTGATCCGTCTCTTGAATTTGTGTCAACCACAGACCTTATTTCAAGCTTTTTTCCAAAGTCCTATGGAGAAATCCCATTGGCTCTGAGACGAGGGAACAGGAAGTGGTAAAATGCTAACTCACTTCCGGGTTTTAGGACTCGTCACTGCACCACTCTATGGTGTCGGACTTTAAGGCTTGGCTTCCAGTCGTTGTTTTATTTCATCTCGTAGTTTTGGATGTAGTTGAAGTCAGGGCTCTGTGCAGGACCGTCAAGTTGTTCCACACCGAAGGGTACAAAAAATACATTTCTTTATGGTTTTGTCATGTTGAAACAAGAAAGACCCTTCCCTAAACTGTCACCACAAAGTTGGAAGCACTGTAATGTCTGAAAAAGCATGTATGTATGTTATATCATAACAATTATCTTAAAGGTCCCCTATTATAGGTTTTTCATCAATATATTATAGGTCTCAGAATACAAAACATGTCTCTGAAGTGTTTGGCTCCAAATACCAAACAGATCATTGCAGCATCCCATAATCCCCTCTGTTTCAGCCCTGTGAATGGATCTGGCCCTTCCTACATCCAGGACATGGTTAAACTGCACACCCCAGCACGTGCACTCCGCTCTGCAACAGCCAAACTGCTCGCTGCACCCGCACTGCGAGGGGGACCCATCAGCGAAAACACGTGGGTTTGCTATCCTGGCTCCAAAAATGGTGGAATGAGCTCCCCATTGACATCAGGACAGCAGAAAGCTTACACATCTTCAGGTGCAGACTGAAAACTCACCTACCTTTGTTGGTGATTGGCTAATGGTTACTCAAGCCAAAAGATCGTTATGACATCATAAAGTGGCCAAAATCTGATCAGCTCATTTTCAGACAGGTTTTTATAAAAGAGAGAGAATCTTTTTTCCTGAAACTTTCACAATCTCTTTACACAGAGGGGATGTGTATGTAGCAAAGACATGAAAAAGTGGATTTTGCATAATAGGTGACCTTTAATTGAACAAATTAAGGAGATATGTTTGATTTTTTTTACCATTAGGGCAAAGGAGAATCTTATATTATGAAGTTTTAAACATTGGTCCCTAAAATGAAGTAGAAATGCAGAACCTGGTTTACATTTTGTAGCTTAATGTTGAATATTACCAAACTAAATTGCAATAAATAAAAGTACAACTCATTGAGACTTTTGCATCATAGCAACATAAAAAAGAAGAGAGAGGGAAAAAAAATCTAATTATTTGTCTTACATCAGACACAGAAGTAAAGTATATGCAATGAGGCAAAAGCACTCACGAGGTTCATCATTACAAGTAGGGGATGACAGATAACATGCAATGATACATGCTGGTGCTCAGTGGATATATCACGCATGCTCAGACGTTATGATTAGCCCTCCCTCCTCTCGCCCCTTTCTCTCCATCTCTCTTTCTTGATCAAGCTGAGGAGGAGCATCTGTATCAGTGCTCAGAGCGTGATGGACGAGCAGCAGGACGCCATAAAACACACGTCTCCCCCCCGCAGAGAGCAGTGAGCTGGCCGGCCTGAGGCGTGTCGCGGTGCCCTTGAGGAGACTATCGATTGTCGCAGGAGAAAGAGGAGGGGAGCAGCAGAGGAAGGAGAAGAACATATGGCCAATAATGGGTGATGGAGCTTTGGAGATGCTCGGTAAATGACTGAGGCTGACCGAGAGTTCAACCTTCCGCTCGAAAGCAGGTGAGTTGAGATTAAGGAGGGTTTTTTTTAAACATAGGCTATAACCCACACGTCGGTTTATCGATTGAACGACCTAATGCAATATCACGGGATTACAGCGGGTTACTAATTCGGAAGGACTCAACCGGGATCATTGATTGAGCTCCCGTGTGCCAATGTGAGCGTGAGCGAGCGCGCGCTTATGTCCATTCAACATTTCGTCATGGGTTACGGATCGGGCTGTCACTGTAGAATAAACAATGAGACATGCAGACATGCTGTTGGTGGACGCTTAAAAAGACCCTCAGCGTGACGGGGGCCATTACACGTGCATGTGCAGGTGTCATGTAGGGACTAGCAGCTTTGCTATTGTATGAATGATGTAAATGACAATTTAATTGGATCTAAACTGTGTGTGTGTGTGTGTGTGTGTGTGTGTGTGTGTGTGTGTGTGTGTGTGTGTGTGTGTGTGTGTGTGTGTGTGTGTGTGTGTGTGTGCCCTCAGAGGCGCATTACTGAGGAACCTTGATAACCTTGACATAACATCTCCCTCATACAGACGCCTAATGTTTAAAACACATCACATGCCACGCACACGCGCACACGCACACCTATAGCCCACTATATGGACCTTCAAAAGGATATATGATGCAAATATTAGCTCTAGTCAGTCTCACTTGAGAAAAGTAAACAACCACACAATGTTTTTAGACGTTTTGGCAGTATAGTATTTCTAAAGAGAGTTGCCTTCAAACAGCCCAATACTATGTATTTTCGTTTCAATTCAGATATAGAAGAAGATACATGTAAATAGACAGGAGTGGACAGTGTGCAGGTTGTGTAAGGTGTGAACAAGCTTTTGAGAGCAGCAGAGTGGAAGCAGCAGCAGCATTGCAGAGGCGAGCTGCATCAATCCTGATCAGTAAATACTACGACTGAGAGGAGTCCGACTGGAACATCCTGGCCTCTTTACGCTCGTTGTGTTTTCACAGAGCCGCAAATCGGGTGTCCTCTAACCTTTGGTGGTAGTAAACGACTAGATCCTCTGAAATGTCATCTATGCAAACTCGTCTTTTTTTTTTCATTCATTTTATTCAGCGAGCTAGGAAGTTTGACAAATTTTTCATTCAACCCTGATTCATGCTTAATTTTAGCGTAGAGCACATTTTCCTTTCAGATTACATGAATTGAAAAAAAGCACAATTTCCCTTAATCACATACTGTAATAGTTCCTGAGCTCTTTGCTATAGCAGCAGTCACAGCATGACCCTTCTGTGTAATTTATAACAACGCAATTCAGGCTGATTCGAGGAGAGACTCCGCACCTCCAGGCCACACAGGCAGCCACTAATTCACAGCTTTCCCCGTTTCCTTCCAAATCAAAACTGCACCACCAACGATGTGAGAAACAGCAGTGAGCTGCCACAACCACCTGCTTTCTGCTCTGCCTGCAGTTATACTTTGATAATCTTCTCCTCTAGTACTACCATCATGGCCTTGACTTTAGCGATGTGTGTAAAACTATTGGACATGTTGCAGTGAGATATCCATTTTGCTCTTAGGATGAGTTGTAATCACTTTTGTAATCCCTTAACTTTTAATTGTTTGCCATCATCAGTTGAGAGTTTGATTCGTCCAATACTTTGTAAACAAATACCTTCCAAACTCATTTTGTTATCCATTTATACCAGCCTCAGCCGTACTTTGTATTAATAATCTAACTTAATCATGCTGGTATAATAATAATAATAATAATAATCATTTATTTAATGCGCCTTTCATGACACCCAAGGACACCGTACGATTTGTTAAATAGAGGTAAAAGCTACAGAACATGATAGAAACACAAACATATTATCATGGAGAAGACAATTAAAGGTGGGGTAGGTAATTTTGGAGAAACCAGCTCAAGTGCGCTAGAATTTGAAAATACAAAGCCGGAGAAAATCTGCCACTTCCTTACAGAGCCCCTCCTCCAACACACACGAACGCGCACATGATCAATGAGGGCACGAGATAAGTTTGTGCACAGATGGAAGGCTGACAGGCAGGTAGGCCATCCAGTTACTTTAGCCGGGCCGGCTCAGCTGATTGGTCGTGCTTTTTACAGTACTACGGCTTCCACAGATGACATGTTTTTAATGGATTTTTTGTCAAAGCACTTCAGATATTCATTGCTATCGGGATGTTAACAAAAAGTGTATCTCGAGCCGGTTTCTCAAACTTACCTACCCCACCTTTAAAGTGCACACAAATGATAGGGATAGGTTATTCATGGGAAACAGATGATAGCTAGCACTACAGTGAGTAGTATATATATATGGTAGTTATAGTAAGTGAACATACCTGCATCAGCATGTTAGCATTGCTATTGTGAACATGTTAGATTAATTATGTAGATACAGGTATACCAAGATAATAACTGAGCGCTACGCTTCATGTGCCTTTGCGTGAATAAACATTGTGCAATCGGGAAGTATTCCCCTTTCCCAGAGAAACCAGTGGACTGCTGAGTGTTTTACAACCTGAAATGCAGCATTGGGTGTGTGCCGTACAGCACCTGCATAGCCATATTACTCTGCTGCAGAGAGCTATTACTACATCAGTTCAAAGTTAGTCATCCGTGGAGCAGGACCTTGAAGGGAAAAGTTAAAGAGATGGAGACATGAATTACAGAAGGGGAGGGAGATTAAGGAGGAGGAGGTATTAGATGAGACATAATGTGCACCTGGGATTCAATTGCTATTTATTTAAAAACTGACATATAAAATGTTTTGACAGGCTGAACCTTTCAATAACAGCTCTTCTTCTTCCTCTTATACTCCTTGCCTAAATATACAGCCTCTGGCAAGAGACAAGGGGATAAATACATTACATTGGAAGAGAAAGAGAGGGATAACAGACAAATGAGGCGGGAAGCACTTGCTTATGTAACCGACATTGCAAACAGCCTCTATCAACCCCTGAAGGTCATGTTATCCATTAAGACTAAGAGTGTGATAATGTTGTTTTCCTTCCATTATGGCTCTGCATGATTCTGCTAATATTAAAGTGGACCCATCATGCTATATTTGAATAATATAGTTTAGGGCCATACCTATATAAAACATGTCTGTGAAGTTTTTTTTTCAAAATACCAAACATATCATGCATTTTAGCCATGCCTCATTTCGCTCTATTTGCTCTATTCCAGCCCTTATCTTCACAAGGGCTGATTCTGTGGCAAATGAGCTGCAGCTGACCACGCCCCCCTGCAAAGGAGGGGGGCAAAGCACGAGCGTCATGTTACCATGCTGTTACCATGCTGTGCGATGCGGTTACCATGCCACGCAACCTCTCATTCCCCTGATAGGTGGAGAGTTGCCCATATAGGCGGAGCACCCCGTTTCTGACATCAGAACAATTTCAAATCTGCATCAGTCTGTATCAGATCCGTTGCAGCCCCGTTTTTAGAGATTTGGGTACGGAGGAAAAGAGAGAGGGTTGTGTTTTCTGACACTTGGTGAGTTCCCTGACACACCGGGGACACATATTCATGTATAAAAGACGTACAAAAGAGCATTTAGCATGATAGGTCCCCTTTAACTTAATGTGAACTCTCATTAAGCAGAAAAAAACAATTAAAACTGGTGACGGGCAGAGCTTACGTACAATCTGTGCCAAACACGCAGGCACTTGGGGAGATGTGAGTCATTGCTATTATTATCCTGGATATTAAAGATATATAAGATATGATGCTGCAACCCAGAGAGGGACAGCGTGAGGGAGAAAGCAGAGAGAGGATTTGCGGGAGTTTAAAATGTATCCTGTATGTATGTGGCTCTAAAAGTGTCCTTCCTCCTTCCTCGCAGGTGCCTGCCGTCACTGCAGCTTTGAAATGGAGTCCACTCACCTCCTGAACACCTCCAAGAAGAGAGTAAAGATCCACCCTCACACCGTCACTGCCAAATACGCCACGCAGGCCCCTTACTCCCCTCAACCCGGAGTACACACACACTTCCCTCAACCGGGGGACGAGGGCTACGATGACGCTCCGTCTTTCGAGGACTTTGGCTCCTTCCTGGAGGAGACGTCAGACAAGAAGCAGCTGACGGAGAGCAGGAAGTGGCGTCTGACTTTGTTCGGCTCCAAAGAAAAGGACACGGCTAACAAGCTTCAAACTCTCGGGGGAGCAGAGGGGAGTGAGGGGGGAGCCAGAGCAGCAAAGGTTTCGGGGAAAGGCGTAGGGGAGCAGCTGGCCAGTTTCGGGGAGGCGTCTGTGTCTGCGTCCCGGCTCACCTGGGTGGGACTGCTAGGTGCGGCGCTGGCTCACGGATGTTTGATTGTTCTGACCCGCCTGGCCTCCGAACGCTTCAGCCTCGGCCCCCTGTTTCTGCTTTTGGTTAGATCCATCGTGCAGCTGGTCTCAGTGGCGGTCCCGCTGCACAGGGGGGAGAGCCCGTTCGGACCACAGGGCTACCGTCTCCGTCTGCTGTGTTACGGCGTGTCCTACTCTCTCTCCCTCTGCTGCGCCTACGCCTCCCTCACCTTCGTTTCTCCCGGAGACGGCACCACGACCTGGCGCCTGGCGACCACGGCGCTGTCGGCGATCCTGGCCTTCCTGCTCCTGGAGGAGAGGCTGGGATTGGCTGATGGGATCACCATAGCGGCAGGACTCTGTGGTTTGGGGCTAGTCTTACTTCCCACGGCAGACGAGAGCAATTCAGATTCACAGACTGACCCGGTGAAGTTCTGGCGGGGTGCGTTCGGATGGTCTCTCTCGGCTCTTGCGGGGCTGTGGATGGCTCTGGCTCTGGTGGGGTACCGCTCCCTGAAGGAGAGGGTGGGCGTGGGCACAGCTCTGTTCACAGTGAGCTGGACGGGCTGCCTGCTCGCCCCGGCCTCCTTGTTTCTGCTTCAGGAGGGCTGGTCCTGGCCCATGAGTGCTGAAGCCTGGGGCCTGGTGCTGGGCCTGGCTGCCTGCTCGGTCGCAGCCTTCCTGGGGATGACGCACGCCCTCACCCGGCTCCACCCGGCGCTGGTTTCCGCCTCTCAGAGTCTGGAGGTACCTGTGGCCATGCTGCTGCATCTGGCCATGCTGCCTTTGGCTCCCACCGCGCCGGAGGTGGTCGGGAACGTGATGGTCATCCTCAGCGTCGGTTGGCTGGTGGCGATAAAGCTGCTCCCGGCTCGTGGGGGAGGGCGGCGTCAAAGGGAGGAGTATGAGGAGATTCTGGACTCACCCATCAAATAGAAATCTCTTCTCACCTATCCACAACTCCTCCTGCTCTTCCCCCTCCTTCATGAGATTCAATCAAGTGTAAATAAGAGACTGCTAAATGTTTATTGGAGCTTAATCTATTTTGTATTGTCCTCGTTGCTTTTGAGAAGTGCCAATATTGTGTTGTGTGTTATAGTGACTATGTGACGTGAAATTAAAACTCTCAGATGAACACAATGCACTTTGCCATCAGTCCGTCACCTCCCGATGAGTGTGTGTGTGTGTGTGTGTGTGTGTGTGTGTGTGTGTGTGTGTGTGTGTGTGTGTGTTCCTGTTGTACGCGTAATATATTGGCTACATTTCACAACACTGTAATGTCAAGTTTAACCAGCCAGCTGAGGTTTGGCCGAGTATAGACGACATCTATTTAGAGGCTGGCAAGGAAGAGAAAACACAGGAGATGGGAGGCAAGACAGAGAAGCAAGGCAATCAGAGCGAAGATGAATGGGGGGAGAGGGAGGGAAGATGATGGGATTGGCATACAGATAAGAAGCTGGAGAGAAAGGAGAGATGGCAGATGACAGAGATGAAAAAGGAGGAAGCCAGACCAGAAAGGGGGACTGACGTTGGTTGGGTTTTGTGCTGCTTCTGGACAGCTGGCAGATAAAAACATGTGTGGGGAACAGTCATTACGTCTGACAACTACCTGTCAGGCACAGAAGCACTGTCATTCTTGTTTTCCCGGCCTCTTCTCCTCTATTTTCCATCAGCAGTAGCCCCTGCTTTCTTTCTCTTTGCTAAAAAGTGAATGAGAGGAAAGGACTAAGCCTCCATTCACTAAAATCCTCACACAAACTGCACAGATGGAGACTGCTCATGAACACAATTGCCCCCGCATTGAACAGAAAAGTGTGTGTGTGCATGCTGTGTATGAGTATGAAACAGGGGTAGTAGGAAGTCTTGACATGAAATAGCTACTATCCTATAGCATCTTGTTAGGTGTGACATTTAAGAAAAAGGCCTGAAAAAAAACCCATCAGATTGAGCCCATATTTCTCCGCCCAGCTTCACATTTATAAGGAAAGGCCCACACACACACACACACACACACACATGGTTGTAAGCCTTTCATAGGTGAATATACTGGAGTGATGTCAGTGCACTAGCCAAATTAAAATCACATAAGGCTCAAAAGCCCCGTTCCTTTTCCATTTTTCCAACTTGTGAAATGTGTGCATTCAGTCAAACAATTTGTAGGTCTTATAATTTACTTGAATAATATGTAATGCTATTCATTACTATTTAAGACCTCTATATCTACCACATGTATCTGACTGCTGTAACTAGTAAATCTGCAGGCTCAAATCGGACATAAAAAACCTATGACCAGTTTATAAATGTCAAATTAGCACTTTCCTACAAAATAATAGGTTAATATACCTGTAGACCTGTCTTCCCCCTCAGTTTTAAGCAATTTCTTTCTTCCTTTTGCTGCTTTCTCCCAGCAGTCTGCCCATTTCCTCTCTAGCGCTAATAAAACTCCTCAAAACAAAAAAAATAACTCTTTAAAATGAATGAAGAGGTGATCTGGGATCAGCGACCACCACACAAACTGTAAAAATGCATAGCAAGAACCTCCAGGCTGCAAAAAGTTACAACACTTAACGTGTGTGTGTGTGTGTGTGTGTGTGTGTGTGTGTGTGTGTGTGTGTGGGTGTTGTGCCAGGAATAGCTTTGGCAGGGTTTCACAAATCATAAACACCCTGAGCATTGTAAATTGTGGTTTCTTTGCATTCAGAAACTCTTAAAGCAACTAATGAGAGGAAGACAAGCCCTGTATTGAAGACAATCCAAAACATCTGCGGTTGTCGGTATCTGCAGAAACCGCCACATCTACACAAACATTGAGACAGTGTTGTAAACTCTGGCACGTGCAGAAAAGGATAAAACACTAACAAATGAAGTGTGGGCAAAAGTGTTCTTAAACTGACTATGTGGGAGGAGGGAGGAAACCTTTCCATGAGGCCGATTACATTGTTTAATTAGCTTTCATTCTTTATTGTAAACCCACTATATTTATGGTACATTTAGATTCATTGTCATCAGACGAAAACAAGCTTACATAACTAAAATCCCCTTCAAAAACAACATTAAAGAACAAGCATGTGCAAAAGCATTACCACTGGAGCGTCCCCAGT